TCGGATTCACATGGTGTAATTTAGGTACAATTTTGCAGATTTTTGTTCCCATAAAATTTTCTTCTGATACAGTGAATAAATCTCCTTTCTTATGCAATTTAGTGTGTAAAGTAAGGATTATGATTATTATCATTTTGAATGAGGGTTCGCTGTTGACGTTATCACCGTCGCTTAATCTATATTACCTCGTGTCCTTTTTTAGCTGATTTCATGAATGGAGTTTGATTATGCATCCTTTCTTAAAGGGGGGAAAAAACCTTCTTGTGTAGGTGTCACTCTGGGAATAAGTAAAGCAATAAAACTGGTGATTTTTAAGTCCAGTGTAGGCCTGCTGGTTGATCAGTGTGTGTCCAGTTTACATTGGCTTGTTATATTTCGATTAGAAAAACTGTTTTTATTTTTTTTCCCCGGGACACGAAGACTTACCTCAATCCAATTAGTAAGCTAGTTATAATATTTAAATGTTTAGCTGCTGCTGTGTATTGCTGGCTAATTGTGGCTGAACTAATACAACCAACACAACCATAACGTGGTCTTCATGGTTGAACATGATGAATGACAGAAAATTGCATCTTAGAATGTTCAATTAATTTCATATGGTTAGAAAGTGAGTTTATAGTTTTAATCATGTCGGGAGTGGATAGTAGAAGTTATTTAAATTCAGTTTCTATTCAATATGGACACAAACTCTAAGTTTCTAACTAGTTTCAACATTGTTGGATGTGCAGTTAAATTTTAAGAGTGAGAAAACCGTAGGTGTTAGAACTTCAGGTGCATGAGAAAGTGACGATCAGATGAGTTGCATTAATATCACTGCCTGCGGCTGCCAGCCTTGTTTAAGTTCTGCATCTCGAGCACATGCTTTGCTACTTGATAAGAAATCCACATGGTGTTCAACTTACCCAGGAACGAAACTTCTTAAGATTTCCATGAAACGGACCTCTGCCACATTTGTGCACCAGCGATCCGCACCTGTATGTTTATTTGGTGGTAAAGGAAAGAGTGAAAATGAGGTAATGACTCCTCGAGATTCTCTTGATTTGTCTTTCAATTATTTTTAAGTTATTGCTTAAGAGAAAATGTGTTTTGTGAGAGAATTGGAATTAGAGTTTGCAGGACTGATTCTTTGAACTTTTGGCTGATTGCATAGATTAGTCCTTAACAGTTACCAGTCTGGTCGACGTTAATTTTCTTCTAGTGCTTTTAAACTAATGGGCTAGAACATCACTTATTTTAAGCCTATCTGTACTTGTTTTCTTGACGGCATTGTGGCATGGACCGACTGATTGCACAGGGAAGATTTATTCTCACACTGAGTAGATAACCTTGCTTGCAAATAGTTCTGATTCATGTAATTTGCTCGATTAGGAAGTTCTTTTGACCTTATTGAAGTACTAAAGACCCTTTACAAGGTCCTTTCTTCCATTTTATTCTTCATGAAAACAATGTTATTCCACTTTTTAGAGAGTGTGTTGTGCTAATACCATTGCTTCAATAGGTGGCTATTAGTTTGCATGCTTATATTGTTATGTTAATAGGGAATGATTGAGCGGGTTCAACTTATATTACCCTTGAGTTCAGTTTCATTGATCTGTTTCTTAAATTATGGCTGGTTCACCTCTTTCAAATGTTTTTCTCTCTTTTTTTTTTTTTTTTGTGTGTGCGCGCACGTACATGCTATGCTAAGAAGTAAGAACCTTATAGAGCATTATCCTTTCACTTCCCATTTTTTGTTAAACTGGTTTTGTTATCATTGTTTCGTAGTTCATTTCCTTTTGTTGCCATTGCGAAATTAAGAAGCCCATGAACTGATTTCGTTGATTGTTTAAAGTGTAATGAACCTTTTGTTTAATTCAACAATTATTGGTTAAGCATATGAGTTGGAAGAAAAAGAACTAACTGTGCAACATTGGTGACTATATGCTATATTGTAGGATGTCTTTGGTGATTATATGCTATGCTAAATTGTAGAAGTAAGAGCATCTCGAAACACAAGAAGATCTCTATTTTAAAGAGTCAATGCTTAAAAATGAGCTCCAAGAGACTTTATTTTAATTTTTTAAAATATAGAGTTGGTTTGACTCTTCAGATTTGGAGAGCCAAGCCTACTTTCTATTCTTAATTTACAATGATTGCATTTAGCCCCCGTTTGGCCCCCATTATTTGCCCCTTTTCTTCTCATTTTCAGAATTGGTGGTCCCCGCGCCTGTATATCTTGCTACATTTTGACATTTGGTGTTGACTTTTCAATGGATGTTTCTTCTCAATTTCCCAAACTACCCTTGACATGTTCTTGTGGGATCATTGCATCAATTATAGAGGGTGGTTGAGGGTAATTTTGTCCAATGCATTTTCAACGGTACAATAATGGGAAATTGAAGTATGACAAAACAACTCAACTTTTGTAAATTATTTTGATTCTTTTATTGAAGAATAATGAGATTTGGAAAAAAATGCCATTATAATATGCTCCAAACAAGGGATTAATAAGTTACAGATTTCAATACTCTCCTATTTAAATTATTCAAAACACATTTGAATTGATTGGACATTGACATTGACATTAAAAAAAAAAATGTTAAATAAGAGATATGGAGAAATATATAAATGTTTTTTGAAAAAAGCAAACTGAAGAGTCAAAATAGAGAGCATGGTTGGAGTGCTCTCTAAAGTTAAATATGCTCTCTATTATGCATAAGATGCTCTTTATAAATAGTCTCTTGGAGATGCTGTAATATGCTATAATATATCGCCTATATTAACTATACTTTATTGCATGTCTTTGGTATCGTAGGATTCGAAATATTGGTGATTTTTATGCCATATTTTCTCTGTTATGTTCTTTGAAGGTCCATGTACATGCAGTTTGAATGATAACAGACATTGGCTACTAAGAAATAAGGGGAAAGTTAGGTCGAAAAATGATGTGTGTTAATCATTTAAGAACCTTACAAAGTGTGAGCCTTTCATTTCCCAATGTTTGCTAAATCGGTTTTTGTTGATCATTGTTTCAATGTCCATTTCCTTTTGTTGCCATTATGAAATGAAGAAACCTATGGACTGATTTCTTGAGGAAAATGTGTGCTCACTTATTATTAACATGGCACCAGGCTTCTCCATGGAAAGCTCTCGAGAAAGCCATGGGAAATTTGAAAAAGGAACAGTCAGTTGAGGATGTATTGAAACAGCAGATTCAGAAACAAGAATATTTTGATGATGGAGGCAATGGTGGAAAGCCTCCAGGTGGTGGTGGTGGTGACGGTTTTGGTGAATCTGAAGATGAAAGTCTTTCTGGGATGTTGGATGAGTTTATGCAAGTGATATTGGCAACTATCGGATTCGTGTTTCTGGTACTCTCTTTCCTCGCTCTATCCCTTAAATAGACTCAATTATTGACTCATAGTCCAAAGCAGAGACATTATCTAACGAATTGAAACTTGGCTCGAGTCTGGTTGAATCTAACTATTTTATTTAATACTTGCAGTTTTCCGATATGATAGGTCATGAAATTTCATTTATTTAGGCTAAGAAAAATAAATATCCTCATAGTCTATCCATTAGATCATTAGTTTCATTCATGTATAGATTGAAACTTGAAATACGTTCCATCTTTCTCGATAATGTGCTCGTGCTTCGTAGTTATTTCTTCCCAAAATTAACATATCTGGTATGTCGTCTTGGTTTCAGTACATTTATATAATCGATGGAGCGGATATCACTGTATTAGCTAGAGACTACATCAAGTTTCTGTTTGGAGGACAGAAGAGCTACCGTTTAAAGCGTGCCATGTATCAGTGGAAGAAGTTCTTCCAGATGCTGACAGAGAAGCAAGAGGACGATGATCCATATTGGCTTGAACGTGAAATACTTAATACCCCCACGTGGTATGATAGCCCCGATAAATATAGGCGTCTCAAGGCTTATCTGGATTCAAAATCTCGCGATTGACATCGAATTCTTGCTATCTTCTCGCTTTTTGTTTAGTTTTGCATTGATTTTGGCAGTGTGCTAGGATATTATTATATGACATTTTGAATATGAATCCTACATTTCTGTGGAAATATGTGTAAGTGTTATGCCCTAGTCCAATCAACTTTGGACATAAATACTATGAATATATATAATCAATGCATATATATGGCAATATCTATTATTTAATTGAATTAATATTCTAATAAATTAAATAATAGATTCCGTAGATTCAAGTCTTGGTGATTTGTTAATCACAAGGAGTTGTGATTGTGAGATACAAATTACATATGACTGAATCTTAAATC